AGCATCGATTCGATGTTAAAAAAAAAAAAAAAAAAACGACTGATTGCTTGATTTATAAATATCAATGCTTCGGATGATCCGGAAGTAGGGGTGTAAACGAGACGAACACGAGTGAGCCCGTGTTCGTCTCGTTTATATTTCGAGCTCAAAAAATGTGTTTATTTTCGGCTCGTTTGTTTAACGAGCCGAACACGAGTCGTTCACGAACAAAGAAACGTTTTGACAACCCTAATAGCCATAAGATGTTAAGGATTAGGGCAAGATTTAAAACATCATTTGAATCTAATTTAATAATTTTTATTCTATTTTCTTAATTAATACTTTTAATTGATTATAAATCTTTGTAGCTTTGTAGTCAATTAAAATTTTTAAAAATATTACTCATCAAAACGAGCCAAACACGAACGTACAAACGTACAAATATTTGTTCGTGTTCGGCCAGTTAACATTGCGAACAAGCCGAACATGAGCTGTTCGCGAACAACGAGCCATTTTGACAGCCTTATCTGGAAGTAACTATCCCAATATTAAAAATTGAATCCTTGCTAAGAAAATTTGTAGGCACTCTGTGAAGAAACTGTTCTCATTGAACTGCATGGTTGCACAGAAAATAGGAAAGAAATTTTCCCAAAAATAATTGCCTAAGAAATTCACAACTTAATCGGAGGACATTTATCAAGATCATCCCTAAAAAAGAGAAATATTGCACATATACCCCCAAAGAATTAAGAATAAGCAGTTTCAAAGCTCAATTGTTTGTGATCCATTCCATTTAGTGGTATCAAGATTATTCCAGGACTGCCCTCCGCTTCAGACCAACGGATGGATTCCTTCTCCAGAAGCTGTAGCACCTATTCATCAGCCAAAATGAAATCTTCAGCAGTTTTCAAGCAAGATTTTTTATTTATTTATGAAGATTTACATACATACCATTCAATTCCAATGTATTTACATATCTAGCACATGAACACTTCAGTTTTAATAGTAGTATTTTTGATGTGATACGAAAGATTTGGGCGGTAGGAATGTAAAAAGTGAAGTTCAGGTGTTAGTTATGTAAATACATAGGAATTGGGTGGTTAAACTGAACTTGATAGCCAAAAAAATAAGGGATTAGATCAGATAAAAGAACCATGGATTTTTAAGGAAATGACACCATTTGTATGAGCTAAAAATACAGCTCATTACACTCTATTCAACATTTAAGAATATAATACCAACAAATAGTAAATGAAAAAAAGAAAATAGCATTAATATAGAACTTGATGTATTGCAAATTTTATTACTTCTCATTAATTTTGGTCACTAATTTTTCTAGGCCAGCCATGCATTTGACAAAGGCCACCTCAAGCAGAGCAGCACAGCAAAATTGTGTCCTAATATTGCATTACTGATAGACGCGAAAACTGAAATTTACAATTTTTTTTCCCCATAAATTTAAAAATCACCAAAATATAATAAGCATTTGACAAAGGCCACCTCAAGCAGAGCAGCACAACAAAATTGTGTCCTAATATTGCATTACTGATAGATGCGAAAACTGAAATTTACAAATTTTTTTCCCCCATAAACTTAAAAATCACCAAAATTGAATAGTACTCGAGCAAAATGTTAGTCAGTTACCAATAAATTTGCGAAATTAACTTGCGTAAGATCATACCTTCTCCCTTCTTCGCTTTCCTCGAGAGGTATTATCACTCTCTGTATTGACAGTTACTTTCAAATGACTAAAAGCTGAAAAAAGACGACCAAAGAGCAGTTATTACATCATCGGCGACCGATCTGGAAGGAGTTAAAATTAGCATAACAAATAGAGCGCTTACAAGGAATGCTTGCCAAAGAAAGTAGATGTAATTTCAACAATCGGATCGACTCGTTAACAGAATGAGCACGTAAATCAAGAGGTAGCTCATTGCCTTTTTCTTCTTGTTCTCTGCAAATAATTTCAAAACATTCAATCATATTTCTGCACAATTCTACAAAAATGAACCTCGAAAGATACAACGGAGAAAAAAATTGATGGAAAAAATGATACACTCACGCTTTTTCTAGGATCAACCTAGAAGATTTCTCGTCTGCTTCCCGAGCCAACTGGTAGTAGTGTTTTCCCTTTACATACAAAAAAAAAATCACTACACTATTTAGCATGTTATATCGTTTTAATTATGAGTAAAGTGCCAAAGTAGTCCCCTAAGGGCCATTGTAGCCTGAGTCTCCAAATTAGTCCCAAACTCTTCAAACTGAGAATGAAAATATATAGTCCCCATAGGTGACTCCTAATGCTGCAATTCAAAGAATATGGAGACTGATTTGACACTGCTATAGATTGGGACTAAAACAACATCCATGTTAATAGTCAGTCGCCTGGCTCACTATAGATAAGCTTTGCTTCACCTATAAGAACATAACTTACTTGCTCCAAACAGTAGCTTGCTTGTGCCTTGTTACCCTTGGTAAAACTATCTACTGCCTGTCAAGACAATTTTAACATTTCAAATTCAAAATGTTGAAGGGGCATTACATTTGACTTATTGAACGGCTTAAGAAAGTAAATGTTTCAGAAAAATAGGCACTAAATAACATCTAGAAAGTTAGACTTTATGCAAGATGCTCCTTACAGCTTCATAGTATAGTTTCATTGTATCCCAGTGTTGCTTTGCAGCTTTCCGAAGCATCTGATAATCCTCTTCATCTAGAAGGGAGACGGAAAGAATCAGCAAAATAGGGAGAAAGAAAGGAAAATGGCATGTTCGGTGGAAATAGATAAAGCTGATAGCCACAATAAGGGTCGTTTGAGATCACTTTTATCTTTTATTTTCTATTTTTTATGTTAATTTTCTTTTGTTTATATTTTGATTTGAAAAAATATATATTTGACGATTTGATTGAAGTATGATTATTTTTAAAAACAGACAAAATACTAATAGTTATTTTGAATGTTTCAAAAACAAGTTGAGACAAAAAAATAAAAATATATAAAAAAATACATTAAACAAATATATTTTAAAAAACAAAATAATAAGATAAAATAAAATAGACCTCAAATAAGCGCTAAGTCTAAAGTGAAATAGTACAAAAAATAGCCACTTCAAACTGGTCCGATGTTAGCGATAGTATTCCCAAAAACAACTCGAAAGCAAAATATTCTATGATTAACTGTTTTAAAAGCAATCCCTTAAAGTTATTGCGGGAAAATTAAAATATTGAAAAATAATGTATGCGGAAGAGACAACTTTATACACATAAATTCATGTTGCAGTATATATATTCTTGCTTAAGGATGTTTCTCTCTAAATTTTCTTTTAGCTTTTTGCTCCATTTGCTTAAGCATTTTTTCAATAAAAAAAAAGATAAGAAAAAATCTATTTCCGCATAGCATCACAGTGAGGTTTCTCGTACTCTCCCTCCAATCCCACTTATATGTCCTAGTTGTATCATTCCTCAAGCCTGATCAAAGTCCCACCTCCCGTCTGTTAAATCTAGAAAAAATCAATGAACAGCTACTAAGATGTTAATTTTAAGAGTTAAAAATCAATTTTGGCAAACTCTTGTCTCCACTACGATTTCCAAACTTGAAATAATCTGTCCTGCTGCTATTTTGGATTTCTTGCTGCAAGAGGTAGACAACCCCCTGAAATTGCAATGGTAGGGCCAAGGTAGATTTTTGGAGAAGATAAAGAAGCAGTGGTGATCAATTTTGGCAAAATCCCAGATTCTGCTATGATCCCCTACCCGTCGTACCTCTCCTAGCTTGGGTAATCCACCCCAAAACAGGGAATCCTCCCTTCAACTCGGGAAAACCTGAAATAAAATTCTCCGAAAGAACCCCTATTCTCTCTAAAGAAAGGCCTATTTATAGGCAAACTATCCCAAAAAACTAATAGAACTTTTAATTACTAAATTATCCCTAAGAATTTAAAATAGAAGAAAAGATGTCCTCTAACATTAATTAATTATTAAAAGCACCCTCCTAACACTATGTCACTTATACACCATCTAGTAATACTAGAATGATGTCATTCATGCACAAAATTGACTTTCATAGATGCAATGCTAATTACTATTGCTATTTAAAAGGAATTGAAAAAGATTGTATCATCTTGCTTTTGTACGTTAACGATATATTGATTACATGGTCAACATAGAAAAAACTGGCAATCTTAAAAGAAAAATTTTACAGGAATTGGGCATGAAAACCCTAGTGGAAGACAAAAAAAAAATCTTGAAATGAGGGCAGAACCACATAAAATTGAGTATTTTGAATCTATCACATTCTCAAAAAATTAAAAAGATGTTATATAGGTTCAATATGATAAAAGGAATAAAAGTTGAACACCCCAACTACAAGTCACTTCAAGCCCTCAAGAAAACAATCGCTCAAGTCGAATGAAGAGAAAGATTTTATCACTAAAATCCCTTACACATTAGCAGGTAAAACAGTTTACAGAAGACTAGACATTGTACATGCCATGAGAGTTGTGAATCGATATATGTCAAATTCAAAAAAAATGAATACCGGGAGGTTGTAAAGTGGATGCTACACAACCTAAAACAATTAATTAATCACACATTAAAATTTGAAAAAGCTGATTTGAAACTACAGAAATTTCTTGATGTACATCTGAGAGGAGACCAAGATACACAAAGAAGCGTTATTGGGTATCTCTACTCCTCGAATGATACCATAATCAGTTGAATGCCACAACTACAAAAGCTAGTTTCATTATCAATAATAAAAGCTGAATACTTAGCTGTCACCAAAGCCAACAAAGAGATGATTTGGCTAAAAAGCTTTCTAGAAGAATTGAACCAATCACAAAAATTCTCTCTATTATGTAACAATCAATCAAAGTTTCATTCCTGAGCAAAAAATCGTCTCCCACTCTCAGATAAAACACAAGCAACTCAAATATCACTTCATTTGCGGCACGCTTGAAGAAGTTTTTTTAAATCTTATCAAAATCAAAGAACCAAAAATCTCATCGATATACTTATAAATAAAAATTGAACTTAAAGTGCAAGACATAGCTTCAAGAATGTGCATTTGTTGCGTCTGTATTCTTTCTAGTACTTGAAATAGAAAGAAGGTGACAGAAGATATACAAGAAGAATCATGAAAGAGTATACATAGTTTCAAACCTCTTCTAATTTCATTTTTTGCCAATTCAGTTTCCAGCGTTGGGGATGAAGCATAATCATCAAAAGGCTTAGTCACTGGTTTTTGTCCTCTCACTCTTGTCCGATTTAGTCCCCACTCCAAGCGTTTCACTTTTGGTTCCTCCTCAAATATATCAGGAGCGCTGAACAGTGATTCTAAAACCTGCCTTGACAGATTGATTTTCTCTTCATTCAAGAATGATGTTTCTTTAGAATATCTGCATCTAGAGGGAAGATTTTGAAAAATAAATAACTAAATTTATTTCAAAATAGAAAGAAGAAATTAAATAAGAACTATCTAATATATAAACTGAGGAATCAACGAAAACAGATATGCTTCTATTACCCCTGCGGCGGGAGATTCTTGTTTTCTACCTCGTAACTAGCAGTTTCCTCATTCAGCCTGCTAATTCTATGCTGTTTGATAAGCCAAATAAAGGAAACAAAGCACCGTAAGAAGGAACTCCAACAAGATAAAGGAAATAAATTATTAAGTTTTGTTAAGAGAAAGGTAGACTGATTTTAAGCATTAATTAAAGCCAAATTCTCTTAAATGGAAAAAGTCCCAAGCATATTAGTGACTATCAATCAAGAGTAAATGAAATCATACAGAATAAATAGTTTCATTTTTCGTAATGCTGCAAAGAAGTAAATATTATGCACCTAATATTTTCATGGATTTTTTCCTTTTAGTTGAACATTTAAATTGAGAATATGTATTAATTAAGTTACCTAACTAGATTAGGAATATTTATTAGTGTACCTAAAATAGATTGTACTGACTATTATTTATCGGAATGAAAGCAAAGGAAAAGACATTCAACCTATTTGCTCAAAATATTGACATGTTTTCAGAGCCACGTCAAATATTTAGGGTCTAAATCTTTGGAGTCTTCAAGGTTGCAATCGTTTGTCTTCTTCGACTGTTCTGTTTGTAAACTTAGAAAAAGTAAGACATTACCTTTTGCTATTTCAGGCAGTCGTGCCAATAAATCTTTTAACATTATTCATAGTGATGTTTGGGGAATTACAACAGTTATTTCATATGCACAATAAAGATATTTTGTGACATTTATTGATGATTATAGTTGATTTACTTGATCTATTTTTTGCATTCCAAAGCAGAAGTATTTATTATATTTCAAACTTTTTTAGCATATGTTGAAACTCAGTTCTCCACTTGCATAAAAACCTTACGGTCTGACAATGGTTGTGAATAAATGTCTCATGAGTTTCAAGTATTTCTCTATAACACAAATATTGTTTCATAACGTTCATGTCCCTATAAACCGCAGCAAATTGAGTCATTGAACAGAAAAATCGGCATCTATTGGATATTGTGCGTACATTACTGATAGAATCTTCTATTCCAGCTAAATTTTGGACTGAAGCTTTATCTACTATAGTTTATCTCATTAATCATTTACCATCTCAACAATTGAAATATGATTACCCAACTATCAATTTTTTGGTAAACATCCTAACTTCGAACTATCGATTTTTTTGTAAACATCCTAATTATCATATGTTACATACTTTCAGATGTGTTTGTTTTGTTCATCTACCTGCTCATGAACATCATAAGTTGGCAGCTCAGTCAGTACAATGTGCCTTTATGGGATACAGTCCTAATCATAAAAGTTTTATGTGTTATGATTCGAATAATAGTCGCTGGCATATTTCTCGGAATGTGATTTTCTTTGAACATGAATATTACTTTCAACATCATGTGTCGACACCGGATACAGTTATACTTCCACAATTTGATAAGTCTTCTGCTGATAAACGATTCAAGCCGGACATTGTCTACACACGATGTTTGCCCCTTCACCTTCAATCCTCCCCGACCCTGATCCAGAAATTGCTCCAATAAGTCTTAGACGATTAACTCGGTGTATTTGTCTTCTAAATAAATATGAGTATTCTGTAATTTTAACTAATACTACTGTTTCTACCTCTTACTTTCAGAATGCTAAACAGACTTGTTGGGTGTCAAAGCCATGCAAGAGGAACTTCAGGCACTTCAAGACAATCACAGATGGGATATTATTTTATGTCATACAAGTGTTAAACTCATTGGTTGTAAATGGGTTTACTCTCTTAAACTCTGATCTGATGGCTCTCTTAACAAGTATAAGGCAAGATTGGTAGCACTTGACAATCGAAAGGAATACAGGATTGATTATGAAGAAACATTTGCACCTGTGGCTAAGATGACAACTATTCAGCTGGTGTTATCTATTGTTGCATTTAAAGGTTGGTTCTTAGAACACATGGATGTTAAGAATACATTCTCACATGGGGATCTCAAAGAAGATGTCTATATGACTCCTTCAGACCTGTTTTCTACACCTTTGCATGATGTTTGTAAGTTCAAACGGTCCCTATAAGGTTTGAAACAGGCTCCACGGGCATGGATTGAAAAGTTTTGCAATACCCTTCTTAACTTCTCTTTTATTTAAAGTCAATATGATTCATCGTTATTTCTTTGCAAAATCGACAATGGAATTGCTTTGTTATTAGTATATGTTGATGATATTGTCATCACATGATCTGATAATTAATTGATGTCTCAGTTATAGAAGCACCTTCAGAGTTCTTTTCATATGAAGATTTGAGATCATTAAGTTATTTCTTAGGACTTGAGGTTCACTCTTCTCCCGCTGGTATTTTTTTTCATCAGCATAATTATACGAAGGGACTCATTGCTTTGGTTGGTCTTCAAGATGATCGTTCTGCTGATACTCCTTTGGAAGTAAATGTCAAATATCAGCAAAATGATGGTAACTTTCTATCTGAACCATCTCTATATCGACAACTTGTTGGGAGCCTTAATTATCTGATTATTACACGTCCTGATATTTCATTTATTGTGCAACAAATTAGTCAATTTATGCAAACACCTATACATCTTCATTTAGCTGCAGTTCGACCTATTGTTCGGTATTTGAAAGATACTTCTCATTGTGGTTTGTTCTTTTCTGCGAAGTCTCCTATTACCTTAACAACCCATAGTGATGCAGATTGGCTTGGTTGTTCTGATACACGTCGATCTATTATTGGATGGTGCACGTTTCTCGACAACTCTTTAATCTCCTGGAAGAGCAAGAAACAAGATCGAATGTCTAAGTCATCTACGTAAACTCTTTATACTAATAATGTCCTTGATTATATGCAATCTCAATTTAATTTTTTTATGTTAACAACGACATTATTCATCAAAGTTATTGTCCTTAGACAATCTAATATCCTCGGATTGTTGAATTCATGCATTGTCATCCCATTGATGTTGCTCATACCCTAATTTTCCATATGGATGTTTCTTGTCATTTTTGGAGTAATGTTATTTTAATTTCATATTATTTATTCTACCCTTCAGAGAAACATCTCCTCTTTTGTCATTACCTTTTGAAATATTTTCATTTCTTTCCACCCAAATGTTTTTTTGGAAGATTATTTCGTCCTTCAAACAATTAGAAGTGTTTTCCAAGTTACTCCCATTATTAGAAGGCTATTATTGTCATAATAAACTAATCCGATGTATATATACTTCTTTAGTATTGACATTTCACAAGTCTTGCTACTATTCCAATCCTTCAATGTCCCAATCCTCCTCCAAATCTACTCGTTTCTCAACCACTCCTATAACTCTCTCCTTTTTGTTCGGTGTGGAGATAGATTGGGACGCCTTAGCACCTAGAAGCGGGCAGCCCGCCACCTGGCAATCTGAGTATCAAGAAACCCTATGCTCGGATATAGGCGCCCCAACGACAAGAATGGCGCCCAAGCGCTAGTATGGCACCTAGGTGCCCATTTAGAAGGTTTTGCAACAGAAACTCCAACACCCAAGAGGGGCATAGCTGCACTTGGATCACTCCCTGCACCCGAGCACCAGAAAACCCAGGCTCAATGAGCCCTGACATGGTGCAGTTTGGGATTTAAACATTCGATGCAAAATTCAAATAGGAACTCTGTGATGTGTGAACGAGCGAGTACACGGATGGATTTCGTGATTTCTCTTCTGCCAAAGAGAAGAATGGAGCGTTCTTGATTTTCAAAGGAAGAAAGTGTATTTTTGTTGCGTTTCAGGGAGTATAAAGAGGCTTGAGTGTGGTATAATATGTACATTTCTCCTCATTTTCATAGTGAATTTCTTGGAGTGGTGTAGCTACATGATTTTTCCTTGTTCTCGAGTTTCTCAACTTTGCATCTTGGTTTTTTTTTTTTTTTTTTTTTTTTTTTTTTTTTTTTTTTGTTTCCTTATTTGTGTGCTTCTGTTTTAGGTTTTATTTCGAATCTTTCGAATCAATTTTAGCGGTTTGGTTTTCAATTCACCCCAACAAGTGATATCAGAGTAGGGTTTCCTACAGATTTTTAGTATGAGTGGGAGCAATGGCTGACAAAACAAGGTACAAGGTGAGGAAGTTCAACTGTCCAAACTTTGCTTTCTAGAAAATGAAAATTGATGGCTTATTGTATCAAAAGAAACCCTATCTATCACTAAAAGAAATCACCAATAAACTTGAATCGATAACTCGAGAAGAATTAAAAGTTTTTTATCAAACATCACTAGGTTTGATCCATTTTTCACTTTCTTCGTTTTTTGCTTTCAACATTATGAATGAGAAAACTACGATAGATTCCATGACTGCACTAACAAGGATCTATGAGAAGCCATCGACTTTAAATAATTTTTCTCTGATTAAGAGATCACTCAATATGAAGATGGTTAATGATGGTAGATGATGGTTGAGCAATTGAATAACTTCAACACTATGACTAATCAATCGTGTTTTGTTGGCATCAAGTTTGATGATGAAGTCAGGGCACTATAACTCCTATATTCATTGTTAGACAGTTGGGATGGACTAGTCACTGCAGTAACTCTTCAAATAATAAAAAATTACTTTGAATACATTGTGAAGTTAGTGCTAAATGAAGAAATTTGCAAAAAGGCGAGCGACAAAACTTGAAATTTTGCTCTAAATGTTAAAAACAAAAGAAGGAATCTAAATAGAAACACAGGCAAGAAAAGATACAAGTCCATGAGAGAAAATTCTAGGTCAAGGAAGAGAGAAAAACATAAATGAATGTTGAAACTATGGAAAGAATGATCAATTCAAGAAGGACAACAAAACTCCAAAAATTTGTGATGGAGGTCCAGATAGAAAATTGTACTAATGTCTCCACAATGAAATCCAATGAAACCCTCTTATTTCAAAACTAGATATTATCGAATCATGGACAATGGATCCAGCTGCCTCCTTCCATACTTGCCCGAACAAAGATGTGTTCAAAAACTACACTCAAAGTGATCCAAGGAAGGTGTATTTGGAAGATAATAAAACCCGCAATATTATTAAAAAGGGTGATGTTGATATCAGGTTGTCAAATGAATCAATCTACAAGCCCAATGA